GTTCAGTCTGCAAGTGAGAGATCCTATGTTTTATCTTCCAGTCCCCTAATCATCGTTGTTACTCTTCCCTGTTAAGACTAGAAAGAGTGCAGAGAAGCGTAACAATGATGATTAGGGGGCTGAAGGCTAAACTATATTATAATAACAATAACAATAATTTTAAAAAGTTGGAAGGGACCTTGGAGGTCATCTGGTCCAACCCCCTGCTCAGGCAGGTAACCCTATACCATTTTGGACAAATGGCTGTCCAGTCTCTTTTTAAAAACTTCCAGTTTTGGAGGATTCACAGCTTCTGGAGGCAGGTTGTTCCACTGGTTAATTGTTCTCACTGTCAGGAAGTTTCTCCTTAGTTCTAGGTTGCTTCTCTCCTTGATTAGCTTCCATCCATTGCTTCTTGTCCTGCCTTCAGGTGCCTTGGAAAATAGCTTGACTCCCTCTTCTTTGTGGAAGCCCCTGAGAATTGGAACATGGCTATCGTGTCCCCCCTCATCCTTCTCTTCATTAAACTAGACATACCTAATTCCAGCAGACGGTTGCAGGAACTGGGTATGTCAGGTCTAACAAAGAAAAGAGGTGATATGATAGCAGTCTTCCAATATTTGAGGGGCTGTCACAGAGAAGATGGGAACAAGCTATTCCTCAAAGCACATAAGAACAAGACAAGAAGTAACGGGTTGGGAAGCTAATCAAGGAGAGAAGCAACCTAGAACTAAGGAAAAATTTCCTGTCAGAGAAAACAATTATTCAGTAGAAAGGCTTGCCTCCAGAAGTTGTAAGTGCTCCACAACTGATTGAAGAGGCTGAACAGTCATTTGTCTAAAATTAAATCAGGGGTAGGCAACCTTGGCTCTTTTATGACTTGTGGACTTCAACTCCCAGAATTCCTGAGCCAGCCATGCTGAGGGGAAAGGGAGAGTTTCCAAGCTAAGCCATGCTGGCTCAGGAATTCTGGGAATTGAAGTCCATGAGTCATAAAAGAGCCAAGGTTGCCTACCCCTGGGACTCTAAATGATATAGGGTCTCCTGCTTGAGCAGGGGGGTTGGGCTAGAAGACCTCCAAGGTCCCTTCCAACTCTGTTATGCTGTGACTGATGACTTGCAAAAACACATCATCCTTAGGAAAGGCAATCCTTTGTCAGTTCAAAAAAAATGAACTCTGGGGCAATAGATTTGGGCAAACTTTTCTCTTCATTCCTATTCTAATTCTACATGTCCAGGGAAATTATTCTCAAAAGGAATCTTTATTCAAGGGAGTTCCCCCACCAAGTTTTAAATGGTTCAGTCCAGGAATTCTTTCATCAGGTGATCGGGGTTTTGTGTGAACTAGTCTAAATTCAGGAAGGAACGTTTGGACCAGATCAGTGGGGGGATTCAGCCAGTTTGCACCAGTTCGGCAGAACCGGTAGCTAATTTTTTGTTGCCCAGGCCCAGAATGGACTTCCGGAAGCGGCATCCACACAAAGAACTGGTTGTTCACATATTTGAATCACACCACTGGACCAGATTCGTATGTGCATTCATGCACATCTTGGATTCATATAAATCTTGTGTATGAATAAGGCTCCCATATTTATGTAACAAGCTATGTGCTAACAAATATATTTTATCATGAGATAACAAGGCAGCCATCTGACCTCCCTATTAATTGTAAAGTATTTGGACTGGTCCCAACGGACAATTGTACATTCCCTATAAAATGCCTAGAACTGCAAATTGCAAAGAAGAGTGGCCAATTTTTCTGCCTTTTCAATGGGTGTGGAAAAGCCACTAGATTTGAACTGATCGATTATGTGTCATCAAGCTCTTTGTGCTTCTTGCCAACCACAAAATATCTAGATATACTGAGTCATCTCTGGATAGGATTTTTTTTTTTTACCGGGTGTTTTGCATTGTAACATAGATGGGGTTTTTTTTTTTGGTCTACAACTGCACATAAACAATGATATCCAGATTCACACTACATGCAAAGACACAATACACTGAATCACAAACCATCCAATCCCATGTTAGCCGAGAATAGATTGTTGTGACAATCCATCCAATAGGTTCGAATCATAAAAATGAGCCACATATACAGATCTGTTTTGGTTTTAGTTGAAAACCATGACAAAGATCACCAGTATTTTCCAGATTAAGCAGCAAACCATCACCATCACCCATCAATTTCATTTCATGAAACCAACCAATCTCAGAAGACCACGGCTCTAAAGTTTGAGAATGTCTAACAATAATGCTGATGTCTGATTAGATTTCATGAGTTTGCAAGATTTCAGAAGTCTGTATGGCAATAAATATTCTGTTACCTCAGAGTACCATGTTTCTGATTTCTGATCTGCTCACATGCAAAGCTCAACATAGAACAGGCTAATTTGAAATGAGTTAATGAGTTAAATCAGGCCCAAATTCTCCTTTCCAGCTGTGGATAAATCAACCACAGCTGGAAATTTTTTCTTGAGCTTCCATTCCTTGTACAGTTCTATGAATAGGTAGGTGCTATAATCCAGAGGTAAAATAGATGCCTGAACGCTGAAGGTCGCAGGTGTTTATTTATTTAGTTTTATAGCCAAAGGAAATCTGGTAGGGCTCAAAATATTCCATCCTAAAAATTTAAAGTAGGGATCCACCTAAGTCAATAAGACCAGGCTAGAAGGCCACATTTTTGATCTAAGACAGGCCGGCCTATGGGCCGGGTGCATCATGCTGAAACTGTGCCCACCCCATTGCCGGAAATGGAAAAAAAGTCGTGATTTGTCATGACACGTCATGTGACATTGCAAGTTTGACACCCCTGATCTAAGAGAAGGCAGCATTTTACTTTCTAAAAGCCATTGTGATTAGTCTTTGACAACTTGATTATAGAACATTTAGTCCAAATGATAAATTATCAAGTAAATAAACAAGGCTCCCTTGTATTATTAGGACAGAAGGATATGGAAAACCCCCAAATGCTCCAGAAAGGGAACTTTTAGGAAAACTCAGGAATCTTTCCCTTTCCTCTCCAAATCACTCCAATGTGATGTTCCATAGGTGAACTACACAGTTTTCCAGAAGTTAATCCTCTGAACCAGAAGCTGTTAGTGGTGTTCCAGATGTGGTTCAGCAGAAGACCTCATGTGGAATACTACAAAATGTTTCCTGACCAAATATGGATAGCTATAGCGCCTTTTCCAAAGCTCGTGCCTCTACGTGTATCCAACTTAAACTCCAATCAGCATGAACCATAACTGTTATACAACTGAAGAATAGCAACCAGGGACATCTGCTCTCTAAATCAGGGGTCCCCAACCCCGGGTCCGTGGACCGGCACCGGTCCTCGGCATGCCAAAAACCAATCCGCACAAACAGGTGAAGCCCCCATTTGCGGGATGCAAGCAACACATGAAACAATATCCCCTCCGGTCCGTGGAAAAGCCTCTCTCGATGGAACTGGTCCCTGGAGCCCTAAAAAGGTTGGGGGCCACTGTTCTAAATAGTTACCAGGGCATATGAATCAGTAGGAAATTTTATAGTACATCTTCAGGTCCAATGAAGGATAATGAGAACATGGATCAACTATAGAAAGATCTTTGGTCTGGAAGACTTAATGGACTTTCTAAGTGGAAAACAAATGCCAAGGAAGATTAATTCCCTTGAAAATTAGTTGAGAAGTATAGGAGCCACACTCAAGAGGTGATTTATTTTAGAAGACAAAACTGAATCTGAGGGCAGCAACCAATTGTGAGGTCTTGCACAACAATGACAACTGAATAAGTATTCAGTAACATCTGGGACCCCTCTCCCAGGCTTTAGATCTGCTTGGATCATCAAACACACCATTTGTGGATCTCTGGGAAATCCAGACTTCAGGGAGAACGGCCTATGTGGATGATGGGAGAATTTTATGTGAATTTCATGGTTCTGTAAGTTACTGTGCTGTGAACTTTGTAAACACAGAGAAATAAAAAAAAGCCAAGTAAGGATACTGTCCATCTTTCTGTTCTAGATTGCAGAAATCCAGAGGAACTGTAGGGGCAGAAAAAAGTTAGTTTTTCACCAACTTTTTGCTGCTACCCAGAGGCCATCTGGAGTAGTGAAGCTCATCCCAAAAGTGCCTTTTCAAGAGGCAACTGGACTGTCTTGTTTTTCTTTGAAGAGGTTTCACTTCTCATCCAAGAAGCTTCTTCAGCTCTGCCTGGATGATAGGGGAATAGAAGGATTTATACTCCTTGCAGACAGCTGGTCATTTACATTTTTTTTAAGAGAGTCTTTGATGCCCCCTGGAAGTTTATATGCCACCTCTGTCATATAATATAAATTTCTCCATAATTCTATACTTATTTATTTATTTTTGTCATATTTATGTAGTGTATATCGGTGGTGGTGACCCTTTGAGAGCTGTACGCAATGAAATTTCATTTTAATGTATGCCGATTCGTGTACATTCAAAGTGACAGTAAAGTACAAAAGTGAAAATATGTGTATAATAATGTGTAATAATAATAATATGAATTATTCTTAATAAGAAGTAGAATGTGAAGGAAGAAAAATGTAAATAAGAAACAACGGGGCAATAAGGACAAATATTCTAAAGAAGAATAAGGGGGAAATGTAAATAATAGAAGATCACCGTTATGTAATTGCTGTTAAAAAAGGGGGGGAGGAGTATATATTGTGTGTGCATGTGTGTTGTTTTGTTTTGTTTTGTTGGTTAAAAATAAAATTAAAATTAAAAAAAACAACAAAGTGACAGTAAAGTTAATATTCTATTCTTATTCTATTTATCTGTGTTGTCAGGGTCACCTGAGTAGTGCAAATGAGCGTGGGAGCCTTCTTGGAAGCTTCCAGCCAGAGCTGAAGAATCTTCTTGGATGAGAAGCGAAACGTCTTCAAAGAAAAACAAGGAAGTCCGTTGATCTCCTGAAAAATAAAGGCACCTCGGGGGCCACCATGACCTGGAATGACTGAGAATCTCCATAGACATTGAATGGCGTTTAGATCATAACCACCCAGTCTGGTCCAACCTTGTTGAGATGGGGATTCCTGGTGATATCGTAGCCCCGCTTCTTCATCCCCGTGGCTCTGGTGGCGGAAGGAGGGCCCTCTCCCGAAGAGCAGGACCTGCTGGGGGGAAAACTGCCAACCTGGACCCCCAGCAGTCGAAAGAGGCTGCCAAAAACGCCCCTGCTTCTCAAGGACTTCAGCATCACGAATGGGTCCACCCTGGAGGAGATCCGGCACCTGCGCGGTTTGGGGGGAGGAAAGGCAGGAGAGGTAAGAGCAGGAGGCCAAGCCAACGGATGGGGTGGGATGGGATGAGGGTCTTTCCCAGCGCGAGGAGGGGAGGGGACACGAGGCTCAAAGGAAGGGGGGAGAGTCATCTTCAAAGCAAACCCCCCCAGCCGCCGCCCCCCACAAAAGCCCCAGACAAAGCAAGAGAAGAGCTGGATCTTACTTCCGTTCCTGAGCGCTTTTCCTCAGCCCAGCTCAGCAGGCTTAAGACAGGCGACCCTGGGAAAGCGAAAGGAAACCCCAGGAAGCAGATCGGCCGCCGATCTTTGCAACCCGAAGACTGGCGCTGGCAGCCGGAGGGCGCCTCCTCCTCCTCCTCCCTCCGCCGCCCGCAATCCCCGCCTTCTGTCCCTCGCCGGGCGCCCCCCTCCACCTCACCCCAGCGTCACTCTTTGGGAAGCGGCGATCTTGGCCAGAAGGACGGTGGGAATCTACCTGGGCGCTCCGGGAGGACGTTAACCCGAGCCTGGAAAAATTGGGTGGGGGGGGAGGGAGGGAGAAGAAAAAGAGGCGTGGGGGGGAGGGAGATCTAGTTTCCACCCAGGTCGCAACCTCTGCAAAGGGCGCTGCTAACGCTGCACCCCCTTCCCCCCCCCATGGACCAGTGAGGATCAGCCGGTCCCTGATTTGGAAGGAGATGGAGGAGTCTGGCTTCAACGGAGAGCATCTCCTGTTCCTCATCAGTCTTGGCCTGGGGAGAGGGGGGGGGAGCAGGATGAAGGGAAGGGGGTCCTTGATCTAATCTGGAGCATCACTGGTTGGTCTTCGTCCTGTAAGGACCGTGGGGGGGGGGAGTGTGTTGCAGAGTCGGTTCTCGGCATTGAGAGGCAAGGGTGTTTTTTTTTCCAGGACAGGTTGGGATGTGGGAAAGGCAAAAGCAAGTTGAGGATGCTGGCAGTTTAACCTGGGCCGCAAAGTGCCAGTGGGAAATGAAGTAGGCAGCAGATTGAGTGATTGATTGAGTGATTGATTTGATTGATTCGAAGTAGGCCAGAAGTAGCATGAATAGCATATTTAGTTATTCATTCATTTATTGGACATAGGGCAGAATAGCATGAGAAGCATGGTTGCTTATTTATTAGAAGCAGGCCAGAAGTAGAACGATTGTCTTTCTGACTGTCTGCTGGCCTATCTGCCTTATCTATTTATTTATTTATCTATCTGTCTGTCTATCAGCTATCTGTCTTATCATCTCTGTCTGTCTAGCTACCTGCCTACTTTCTTATCTCTCTCTCAGTCCCACCCTCTGTCTTTCTCTGCCTATCTATTTGCCTGTCTATCTGCCTTATCTACCTTGTCTGTCTGTCTGTCTATCTGTCTGTCTATCTATCTATCTATCATCTCTGGCCACATGAAGATAGCAAAAGGAGGTTTACAGGTTTCAGTACCCTGCTGGAAAATCCAAATGGCATTTCGTAGAGTGAGTCACGGGGCCCTCACTCTGTGTTCTCTCCAGGAAATGAGTTAGACAGGTGCAAGTGTTAGTCTGATCTCTTTTGCAGCTCCATTATCTTCTGATGGAACAGTTTTTAGGCTCTTGGTTATGGGTGGCTCCATCTGATTTTGAGGAAAGGAGGAAAATGAGTAAAGAAAAGCTTTGGATTTGAATGCAGGGACCTCCACAGAGTGGGTTACAAAATTAATGAGATGTTAGGCACAAATATTATGGCTGAACTCTTCCTTGTACCTTTTGTTGTCATGTACAAAAAGGATGGGCCTTTGGGACAGCTCAAAAAGGAAAAACTTTGCTTGCAATGATATCATTGGACTTCTGGCACTCTAGCAAATAGACCAGTGGTTCTCAACCTGTGGGTCGGGACCCCATTTGGGGTCGAACGACCATTTCATGGGGGTTGCCAAACAACGCAGTCCGCCATTTTTTCCCCTTTTCCTTAGCTGTGCTACTCCCTTTTATTCTATTGACTTTTGAAAGCCAATAGAATAGACTCTCTTGAATAGAGTCTAATTCTATTGGCTTTCAAAAGCCAACAGGAATTGTCCAGGCTGTCTCTGCCCTGCTGAGCCCGCCAAAAGTCCCATTCTGCAAACAGTGCTGCACCAGTTGAGTAATCCTCAACTTACGACTGGTTGAGTAGTCTTCAACTTACAACCGGTTGGGGGTTGCAGCATTAAAAAGGTTGAAAACTGAAATAGACTGTGGCTAGGGAGCCATGGAAATAACCTTGGAGAAGGCATCCAGAAACTGTTAAGATGCATTAAGCTTTGGACAGGTGACGGAAGGGTGGGCAGAGAGAATATGGATGAGCCAGCAGTGTGCAGCAGCAACCAAAAAAGGGTTGTATAAACAGAGGCATAGAATCAAGATCACGCAAGTATTGGTACCGTTTTAAAAAGCCCTATTAAGACCACACCTGGAATAGTGCAGCCAAATTTGATCACCATATCACAAAAAAGATATTGAGAGTTTGGAAAAAATTCAGAGAAGAGCAACTAAGATGATCAAAGGCCTGGAGACTAAAACATACGAAGAACGGCTGCGGGATTTGGGTTTGGCTAGTCTAAAGAAAAGAAGAAATAGGGGAGACATGATAGCAGTGTTCCAGTATCTGAGGGGCTGCCACAAGGCAGAGGGGGCCAGGTTGTTCACCAGAGCACCAGAGGGAAGGACAAGAAACAATGGTTGGAAACTGATAAAAGGGAAAAGCAACCTGGAATTAAGGAGAAACTTCCTGATAGTGAGGACAATTAACTAGTGGAACAGCTTGCCTCCCGAAATCGTGGGCCCTCCATCACTGGAGGTTTTTAAGAGGAGACTGAATATTCATTTGTCTGAGATGATGTAGGTTCTCCTACTTGAGCAGGGGGCTGGACTAGAAGACCTCCAGGGTCCCTTCCAGTTTCTATTCTATTCTATCCTATCCTATCCTATTTTATTCTATTCTATTCTGTTCTGTTCTGTTCTATTCCATTCCATTTTCTATTCTATTCTATTCTATTCTATTCTATTCTATTCTATTCTATTCTATTCTATTCCATAATGTCTTGTGATTCAAGAGGAAAGGAAGGAAAAATCCAGATTACAACATGCAGACTGCAAAATTCTCTTACCACATTTTCTAAATACAAGTAGTCCTCAACTTACAACAGTTCGTTTAATGACCATTCAAAGTCACAACTGCACTGAAGACTTAAGACTGGAGTGACTCTTGACCATTTTTCGCACTTATGACCATTGCACCATCCCTATGGTCACATAATCAAAATCTGGATGCTTGGTAACTAATTCACATTTATGACGCTTGCAGTGTCCCTGGGACACGTGATCCCATTTTGCAACCATCCAACAAGCAGTCAATGGGGGAAGCCATATTCACTTAACAACCGTGTTATTAATTTAACAAGTGTGATTCACTTAACAACGGTGGCAAGAAAAGTCGTAAAATGGGGCAAAACTCACTTAACAAATTTCTTACTTAGCAAAATAAATTTTGGGCTCAGTTGTGATTGTAAATCGAGGATTACCTGCAGAAAAAAATAAATAAAAATTAAAACAATTGGTGAAACAACTTTTTTTATTGTTTTATTGAATTGCTGTATGCTGCCCAGAGTTGCTTTCTATGAAATGGGCAGCTATGTAAATTTGGTTAATAAATAAATAAAATGTCAATTTTACTGCTGTCAACCAAGAACAAGGCTCCTTTCTAACTGTTTGGGGGGGGGGGGGAAGATCCATTGTCCTCAGCAGCAAGCCAGCTCTATAAAATTTGGCAGGATTCTTATTCCTGGGTTTACGTGTCAGATTGTTACTGAAAGCAAATTATTATCTTTTTTTAAAAAAAACCAGTACATTTGTTTAAAAGGTCATGCTTCATTTGAAACAGATCTATTATGTTTATTAGGCAAGTTAAGAGAGAGGAAGCAGCAACTGATTTAAAAGACAGGGCTGGCAAATATCCAAGGTCATCCAGTCAAACCACGTCCAGGACAGGCTTCTGAGAATGAATGAAATCCAAAGCCTCTTATGTCTCTCTGCCTGAAAGTTATTGGTTATCATCTCAGCAAAGCTAAAATTAGGATGACAAAAATGTTCTAGAGGCGTTGGCGTTATTAACTCCTGATGTGTTTGCTAGATACCGGAGCCACCACAAAATGAGACGTAATTATAAAGAAAATGATGAAAAATTGAACATGGTGCATAGTTTTTAAATTCTGAAGGTAGGCTTTGACTTACATTACTTTTAACAAAGAAGTTGAATAAAAGCTGAAGCTGAATAAAAACATTTAACACCGGGATATTTCTTTCCAATTTTAGAAATGGTTTATTAAATTTGAAAAACAATTATGTTTTAATGTTTCTTTTTAAACATTGGTTAAGATTGTGTAGCACACTGTATAAATTGAGTTAGCTATGTAATTACAGTTGTGAAAAAAATGATTTGCTTTAAGGAAGAAATGTAGCCTAATATGTATTTTAAATGTTTATAAAGCTAAAGGAATGGGGGAGAAAGAAGAAAATAAATTAAAAGTAGAAAACAAGGGGGGGGGAGCCTAAATGCTTAACAGGTGAGCAAAATTAAACGGCACGTACAAATACATAAAAACGTATAGCTAAATTATATCTAACTGTACTTTTAAAAGAAAAAAAGAATAAAAAATTAACATATAGGGACAAATGTGTTGTTTCACATGACTTGATCTTTCAGACCCGAGAGATGCCTTTTTAACAAATAATAGCTTCAGAAAACGTAGAGAAAGGAATTTGTGTCAAAGCTTGAGCTTTTTAGTTGTTTGAATTCACTGCTGAATTTAAACTGTGTTTTGGACAGATTTAATGAACAGTTGTTACAAGCCTTGCTGTAGAAATGTTTTACTAGTTTGATCATAGGAGTAAACAATCCTGTACTAATCCAGCTTTGTAATCTAGTGACGCTCTTTTAACGTGCTTTATTTAACTCATCGCTTTGCATTTTAATAAAAAACCAATAACATTTAATAAAAAGAAAAGTGGAGAGTCAGCAGCAGCAGTAGCATGAAGGCTGACCATGGTTAGCCTTCAAAAGCTAAGCAGATCCAGGATGGTAAGGTGACCAACCATCCCCCTTTAGGGAGGGCAGTCCTCCTTTTGTAAGTTCTGTCCTCCCTCAAAAAGTGTCCTCCTTCATGTTCTCCTTTTCGATATATGAAGACTAATCTGCAGGGCTTTTTTTTTCCTCATAGAACACTCAGAACGGCGTTCTAGCACCTTTTTTTGATTTTTTTTTTCAATTTTTGCATGAACTGTGCTACTCCCACTATTGGCTTTTGAAAGCCAATAGGAATTGCTGCTGAGCACGCCAAAAACCC